CTTGGCCCCCAAATTCACCTGACCTTAATCCAATAGAGCATTTGTGGTCCTACTTGGAAAACCAAATTCGTGCTGCCACGCTACCCCCTCGCAATTTGAGGGAATTGCAGGACCAGTTGGTGAGCGCTTGGTACCAGATACCTCAGACTACCTATCAGCACCTTGTGGAATTAATGCCACGGCGAGTGCTAGTAGTTTTGAGGACTAAAGGTAGTCCTACATGTTGTTAGCAGGGTGGTCATAATGTAATGGCTCTTCGGTGTATATAGCACAAGGAATTTTTCCAAATTTTAACTCTCGGACATAAAACCAATTTTAGACAATTATTGATAAAACGATGAAAAATTTTCATTCTTCTAATTAAATCGTTTAAATAGTCTTTCGTGGTTCATAACACTCACAATTACTCTAATAAACTTTATTTACAAATTTAGGGTTCCGCCGAAAATATGTTGATTATTTACTGTTCCGTAACCGAAAAGAAATTTAAAACCGCTACTTTAAATTATCTAATTGAATTTTTTTTTCTTTATTTTCAGAGGTATCAAATAAGACACTTTTTTTCTATTTTTCATAATGCTTCATGATTTTTTTTAAATTTAAAATTATAAAAAAAATTAAGTTGAAATACATAGTTACAAACATATAGATTTTCACATCTTTCTGTAAATTTTTTTTTACATTCCGCAACCCTGTAAACAATCAAAAGATTTATTTAACTGTCATTGAACAACTGACCCAATTCTAAGTTTACGACTACCATAATGTTCAACTTCGTAGTCTTTCAATTTTGAACCCAATCCAGAATTCAAGGGAACTCATGGATCAAGTATCGAGAAAAAATTGTGGAGTTTTTGATGGAGCTAACCCACATTTGCGTTACATGGAGAACCTCCCACGGTTAGATTGACAGCAAGGGGACTCTAACCACTGAGGTTATTTTTGAGGTCAACCACTGAGGTTATTTTATATCATCACTGTAGTCGGTGCGAGTCAGGTGAGAAAGTCGTATCGATGCATTTCAAAAATTTACGTTCTATCCCCTGAGCCGGTAAGGATCGCAGAAGTATCTTTTGAAAAGGATGCAAAATTAAAGGGGTTAGCGGAGATTATTGATAGCCGCAAATCAGATATGGATA